TTCAATGATCCAACATTTTTGAAAAGTGGACGTCCTTCTACAGAGACATTAGAGACCACAAAAAGTATTGAACTAAACATTTTTAAGCTCCCAGCACAATAATAACATTTTAAAAAATCATCACACCTAATGGGATGCCAGAGCCAGTCAAGGATCTAGTTAATAATTACTAAGAGGCTGCTGGGGCGCCTGGGTGACTCAGTCGGTTGAGCATCCTGCTTCGGCTCAGGTCATGATCTCACAGTTTGAGTTCGAGCCCCGTGTCTGGCGTTCTGCTCTCAGTGGAGAGCCTACTTCAGATCTTCTGTCTCCCCCTCTCTTTGCCCTTACCCTACTCATGTGCTCGCTCGCTCTCTCTCACATACAAATAATAAAAGCATTTTTAAAAAGTCCCTTAAAAGAGGCTGCGCGGCTGGCAGGTAGGGTGAGGACACTGGGTCACACCTGAGTTCACAGTCTAATTCAAGAGCTAAAGAAAGGTACCCACAGATCATCAGGCTGTTCCAGGCAATGCCACCTCTACCTGCTCCTCCAGGAATGCAGAGGTCATAATGGAATGGAGTGGTCCAGGAGGGCTCCTGGAGGAGACAGACCCAGAGCCCTAAAGGAAGTGCAGTATTTGTTTTGGCTGCAGGATTTTACAGAGAACAGAGAAATGGCCCAGATAAAAAGATGGCATGTGTGGACAGGAAGGAAGGCTGCGATGCCAGCACCTCAGCCCAGACATGGATATGAAAATAATACGAGAGACCCGCAGCTGCCCTCTATTAATTCCTGAATTTAAGCAAAGGCAAGACTTCATATTGATTGCTAAGATTCCTTTTTTCCCCCTGACAATTGGCTCTTTATACTTTCATCTGGCCTAAGAAAGAAAAATCTTTTGTCTAGGGTGCCATAGGTACATTGCTGCCTCCAAGTGAGAATAAACTATGACCTTTTGTGGCCCCTTCAAGACCTATGATTCATGCTCCATGGAAAATATTGAGAAATATTCCATTAGAAATGAATTTGCTTTCACAGCAAATTGTACGTTTCCTGTGTTTTTCTTCCTTCATTATCACCAAGGACATTCTCATGAAAACAAAGTCTTGTTTTCCCCCCAGAGTAACCATATTCTTTATATTGACTTGCTTTGACTCGCCAAACTGCCTTTTCGTGGCATCACAATGAGCTTTTGGTGTCTTTCTAGTGATGTCATAAATGTCCTATAGAGAAAATCAGTAGGCTAACAAACTCAAGTAAAGAAGGTTGACGTCATATGGTGTAATTTCAGAGTTTCCAGGAAAGCCTCCCAACCAACCGCGCTCCCTACCCCTAATCCCCTCCACTCCCAACAGCAATCCCTAACCTGCTGAAATAGTAGTGTTGAAATAGCAAAGTTACTAAGCTGCCAGTTTCAACCATGGTATAAGCAATAGTTATGACTTCAAACTTTCCAGAAAGGCCACAACCAACACCCTCTCAAACACCCCCAAAAAACCACCTCCCCACCTGCCGGCTGCTGTTGAAAGACCACAACTAGAACTTTATTCTCTTCATTTCAATCTCTAGCAAAATGCAAACACTTCTTTCAGAAGCCCCCCCATTACAATAAAATTCCTTTTCAGATCTTTTCCTACTAGGTCTTTAAAAGGTAAGCAAGAGAAGCTGCCTCCCGCATTACTGGTCCTCTCCCCTAATACCCCCTCCTCTTACGGCAGCTGGAACTGGAAGCCCCACCTGGCTCAGCCCAACCCAACTCTGGGCCCAGTCCTAACTTTGGGCAGAAACAATTTCAGGAATTCTAAATCTGTACTCCTGTGTCACACTCTCTGCTCTTAGTTCCGTTAGCAGGACATCTGTCTTCTTCCATAGACCCAGTCTCTACCACATGCTTTTGCTCTGCAAACCACCTGTACTTCATCCTGGCCATCTGAGTACTGGTATCCTGGTATCCTACCCAGAATCCTGTTATTTTAGAACAGAAACCTACCTTGCTCTTGTCACATGCCCAAAGGGAACGGAGTCCTACTACTGCGGTTCCCTGATGTAAAGCCACAGAGCAAGGCAATAAGGAGCTCATGCTCTCCAATCAGACACACAAGGGGTGAAAACTCAACTCCGCCTTTTTTGAATCTTGCGTATTTAAATTAACCTGCATGAGCCTCAGCCTCATGTATACTATCATATCCATTAAATGAGAGAATACAAAGCCTAGCCTGAGAACTAAATAAGTATTAGCAACAACAGGGATGTAAATTGCAGTGAAAGGATAAAAATGTTACAATTTGTGTTGGAATTTACAAATATAGTGCTCATTCCCACATTCTGTGTTGATATGCTCTACCCACGTGGAGTGAAGCATTCACTTACACTGGAACTCGACAGAAGGCTTATTTGTGGGGGACGCTCAGGGACCGTCTATTATACAACAGTGACAGTCCCTGGGTCTGGACTCCAGGTTCCTTTCAGCTCCTGGTTCCTTTCAGCTCCTGCAGTTCATCCTGCTGCCCCAGGGCTTCCCAAGCTCTACCCAACCACTTGGTTCCCTCTCCTGGTCTCTCACATCCTGTGTCATTTCAATTAATTGGGGCAGGTACCACCATGCCCCACATGTAGATAACCATAGTAGCTGGGGGTTCAGAAGAGAGCAAAAAGGATAGGAAGGCTGGGGAAGCCAAAGATAAATGGCTCCACAACTCTGCTTTAGTCAAAGGCATTTCTGAAAACACTGGAAGAGGTGTTAATGTCACTTATCTCCAAGTATCATCATGAATAAATACAATGCTCCAATTGTGAACAGAGTGATATACTTGCAACGTTCCCGGCAGAGTATACCAGTTACTGACATGAACTAAAAAAAAAAAAAAA